ATCATCACTGCGAAGCCCACCCCACCTCCCCCCTTAGAACTCGCAGGGTGGTGGGGTAGGGTCGGGTCGGGCGTGTCCTCCTACGGGCGGATGTTGGAGGAAAAATAAAAAGCGCTCCAAAGGCAATCAGAAAAACAGTCCCCCGACTACTTTTGACTATTTGGGGATATTCCTCCTGCAGAGGGACGTGCCCGACTTAAGGGTAGGGCTCGCGTGTGGCCTCCTCTTCCTGCCAAGAGGCCTCCCAGGGCGCGGCCGAGACCGACGGCGAGCCCCCGCGGGGAAGCGCCGACTTTTAGGGAAGGGGATCGACAACAGAATGAACGGTTCTACCCCAGGATGCAAATTGCCCCCTCGATGCTACGAAAAATGCGCAGAATGCTCCGTAGATCTACGTGCTCCGTAGAGATCTACGGAGCATTCTACGCACTTCTCGCAGATTCGACAAAGTACTCAAGTTTGGGGCAATACGATTTGGGGAAGCCAAAAAGTACCGATACTGCTACTCCCCGGGCCGCCCCCGGGGTGCGTTCTGACCAGGATCTCGAGGCGAATCCAGCGGTGGCGACGAGGGGCCTCCCAGGAGGCCCAAGAGGGAGAAGGCGAGGGAAGTGCAGAGGTATGGGTACATTTCCCTCCTCCGACGATTATGCAGTCGATCCCCTACTCGAACTAACCTGGGGAATAGTTCGCCTGTCGGCGCCTGCAGCTGCTCCTCGAGTGGCAGCTGCAGGGGAGGGGGGCAGGCCTTCTTGCAAGAGGCGGCGGGCCTTCTCAGAAGCCCTCCTCCTCCTCCTCCTCCTCCTCCTCCTCCTCCTCCTCCTCCTCCTCCTCCTCCTCCTCCTCCTCCTCCTCTCCTCCTCCTCCTCTCCCCCTCCTCCTCCTCCTCCTCCTCCTTCCTCCTCCTCCTCCTTCCTCCCCCTCCTTCTCCTCCTCCTCCTCCTCCTTCCTCCTCCGCCTCCTCCTCCCTCCTCCTCCTCCTCCTCCTCCTCCTCCTCCTCCTCCTCCTCCTCCTCCTCCTCCTCCTCGTGAGGCGTCTCCAAAGACAGAGGCGGCTTCTCAGAAGGCCGGAAAGCTTTTGAGAAGCCCTGCCGGCCCTTCTGAGAAGGCCCGCACCCCCCTCGCTTCCCCCCTGGGTGCTCGGCATCGTCTCACCGACCCCTACCCCCATGAACGCGGCCTGTGCCCCACTGGCCGATTGACCCCCTGGCTGGGGATGTGGGCCGCTCCCTTCGGGCTTCGAGGCGCGCGTCCCCAACTGGGGTGCAGGGATGCTGGGGGTCTGGATGGGGATGGGGGTGGGGATGGGGGTCGGTTAAACGATACAGTTGGAGGCCTGGAAATGGGCACCAACACCAACACAGGGGGTTGCCTCCACAGGGGGAAGATGATCCTAGATTTCGGTGTTGGTGGTAATAGTTCGGTCACCTTGGCAGCCAGAATATTACCACCATCACCGAGATCGGGATCGTCTTCCCTCGGGGCAGGCACACCGCCGCTCTTGGTGTTGATGTCAACCTCCAGGCCTGCGAGGAAGAGGCTGGGGGTCGGTGGAACGATACCGACCCTGAGCCCCCCGCCGACACGAGCATAGGGGAGGAAAAAATGACAGAAACATAAAAACTCGGAGGTCCGCGCGGATTTCTCGGATCGGCGCTGGACCCCCCTCCCTGGCGCGCGGAGCGCGAGAGGGGCGGCGCCAGAGGCGCCGCCAGGGGGGTCCAGCGCGGATCCGAGAAATCCGCGCGGACCTCCGAGTTTTTATGTTTATGTCAATTTTTGTTCCCCTAGAGCAGGCGTGGTCGGCAAGCGCCGCTCCGCAGAGCGCCGCTGCACCGCCGACGCACCGCCGACGCACCCGCGACGCCCCGCTGGGGCGGCGAAGCTCGCCAGCTGGGTGATCGCGCCGCGCATCGCCGGCACACCGGCGGCGCGGCTCGGCCATCCGACCCCCAGACTTCATGTTGCTCCCCTCATACTGAAGGACCAAGTCCAAGAAAAAATCTCGAGCACCCAAAGACAGAACAAAACCCGTCAAGGTTTGGTACTTTCTCGGTGCTCGAATGTTTTCCTGGTGGTCAAGGTTGCAAGAGATTGGAACATCATAATCCCATACCCCCGACGTCGTCTTTTCTCATGGGCGGCTTGCTGAAGGCATCCGCTTCCGTGCACGTCTTTGTTCACATTCCTCCTCCTCCTCTCCTCCTCCTCCTCCTCCCTCCTCCTCCTCCTCCTCCTCCTCCTCCTCCTCCTCCTCCTCCTCCTCCCCTCCTCCTCCTCCCCTCCTCCTCCTCCATCCTCCTCCTCCTCCTCTCCTCCTCCTTCGCCTCCTCCTCCTCCTCCTCCTCCTCCTCCTCCTCCTCCTCCTCCTCCTCCTCCTTCTCCTCACCGCCACTCCCCAGCCCCAGCCCCCCCCCGCAGTGGCCGGCGCAAGAGGCTCCTGGACCCGTGGACCCCCGGCGGCCCGTCCCCCCTGGGGCGGGCCGCTCCTCCCGGAGACCGTTACGTGGACGGCTCCGAGGGCGGGCGGAGGTCCCGGAGGCCCCCCAAAGAGGCCGGAACCGGTCCAAGAGGGCCCCAAGAGGGCCCCAAGACGGCCCAAGAGGGCCCCCAGACGGCCCCAAGCGAGCCCCAAGAGGGCACAAGAGGGCTCCCGTTACTGAAGGGGCCCTGGGACACACAAATAAATACACAGAAATAACAGGTTCCCCATGTTTTCCAATGTTTTCTGGGTTTCCGTCTTCCCCCCCACTTCCCATATTTTCCTATATTTTCGGGGGAATCGACGATGAATTGTGTCTGTGTGTTTTTGTTCCCTCCTGAGTTACGTGGACGGCTCCGAGGGCGGGCAACGTCCCCCGGAGGCGGAGAACGGCGCAAAAAAAACACCGCGCCCATGACCATGTGAAATTTGGCGGCGCGCACCAGGGGGTGGAGGGAGGGGGGAGGGCTTCTTAGGAGGAGGCTGCTTCTTGGAAGGCGCTGGCCTCACACCTACAGAGAAGGCCCGCGTCTTCTAAGAAGCAGGGGTGACTCTGAGAAGCCCTCCCCCCTCCCCCCACCCCCTCTGCGCGTGGCTGAGAAATGACTCGGCGAGGCCCGGCCCCGTCCATTTGGACGTCAGGGACAGCGCAGAAAGTTTACGCAAATGGTGTTCGAAGCTGGCACGGCGCATGATCGTTTACCTCGAAACCGGAAGTCCCCGCGATCGAGATGACGCCCCCGGATACAATGGACGACGTACCTACACGCTGAGGCCTTGGCAGTGGCGAGCAATGATCCCGGCACTCTACAAGCTCTGCTGCAGAATCCCTCAGACTGGCACGCGGCAGTCAGGCAGCGCTGCGCTCTCTAGTTGATTGCCTGTGCCCCTATTCTTCCTTTCCCCCTTTCCTCCTCTCCTCCCCCTCCCCTCCCCACTCCCCCATGGAGACTGTCGCTTGCAGGGTTCCGAATAGCGGGTCACCAAGTACAATGATTGCTGGTGATTACATACCTTTCCCCCTGCATGGCGTAATTGTTTTTGAGTGGTTTTCCTGCACGTGCGAGTTCGTAATATTTCCGTGCCAATGCGCCGTAGAGGTGCGGCTTTGTGTGTGTGATGCCCAACAACACTAGAGGCCTCCTAGATGGGGTCCGAGTAGATCGGGTCGCAGGATCGCGCCGCATCGCCGATGCCATCGGCGAAGCATCGGCGATGCATCGGCGATGCGTCGGCGGTGTATCGGCGAAGCCAGCGATGAGAAAATCAGGTTTCGCATCGAGCCGCATCGCCGATGCATCGGTAATGCATCGGCGATTCGACGTCATCTCCGACCCCGTCTACTTCGACCCCATTGGGAAGGCCCAGACACATGCTCTCCAAAACTGACACCGGCCGCTGTTGGGCAGGCGGCCTCCTGTCTCAAATGGACCACGCCCGCCGCAACGCCGACGGCGAACCCTGCTCGTCGTCGTCGTCGTCGCCGCAGCCGTCGTCGTCGTCGTCGTCGTCATCGTCGTCGGCATCGTCGGACATGGAACTGCCGTCGGCCTCCGTGCCCGCTGCCCTCGTGCCCCTGTCGGACTCCAGCCTCGGGGCCCACCTGGGATGGGGGCCTCCCAGATGGGGCCCGCGTAGATGGGGTCGGAGGATCGCGCCGCACCGGCGATGCATCACCGACGCATCGACGATGCACCGGCGACGCCGACGTGACGCAATATTGGGCTCCGCATCGGGCCGCGTCGGCGATGCATCGGCGATGCGGCGCGATCCTCCGACCCCGTCTACTCCGCACCCATCTGGCAGGCCCAGACTGTCCCTCAAAGGGACCACGCCTGGCGCAGCGCCGACGGCGAACCCTGTTCTGAGTGGACAGGCAGACTGCCGTCGGCACCTTCGTGCCCGTTGTGCTCTCGTGCCCAGGAGAGCGCAGGAAGGGAGAGCGCAGGAAGGGAGGAGGAGGAGGAGGAGGAGGAGGAGGAGGAAAGGGAGGAGGAGGAGGAGCAGGAGGAGGAGGAGGAGGAGGAGGAGGAGGACGACGAGGATCCCCGTGACCCAAGGGGGTCCAGCCTCGGGGCCCGGCTGGGAGGCCCCGGGGGCTCCTGCGCCGCGGCCGCCCGCCCCGCAGGCGGCTGCTGCCCGCTCGGCCTGCGGCCCGCCCTGCAGCTGCTGCACGGCGGCCGCGGCCACGCCCCGCTCCAGGAGGGCCAGGCGCCGCCAGGAGTTCCCCCGGCCAAAGGTGGCCCGAGCTTCCCGTGCAGCTTTGGAGCCCCTGGCCCTGGGGTCAGGCCGGGCATGCCGTCCCGCAGGCGGATTCTGGGCGACAGAGGAAGAGTATTCCAAAAACTGCCCTGGGAAGGTCGAACAGTCGCCCCCGTGCTGTTTTTAAGAACCAT